AGAATGTTGGTGACTTGATTAAAATATTCATAACTTTCATTGAATTCATAACTGCATTGATGAGAATTTTTTTCTCAGTGGCATATTGCCATGCAGAAGAAAAAGAAAATAAAAATAAAACAAAATCATAAAAAAATTGATTGGAGATATTCCCTAAGTTCCTCCCTTCAAATTTTTCTTGAATAGAAGCAACTAAATACTTTGCTTAACTAGAAATGTTTAGTGTTTTTTTCCCCCAAATTAAATGAGGTTGGTGAGTGAATCTCATGTCCCAAGGGTGATCTAGAATTATTGAGTGTCTTTCCATCAATTGGAATGTTATTTGTTTTAAAATAATATTTCATCTGTCTTTGCCTCCTTATCTTTATTGAAATTACTGTGTAGACCAAAAGAAGACAATTTCAAAATTATAGTTCCCAATTACATTCTGTGTACTATTTCATTTCCGAAACTTAAAAACTACTTTTTAAGCCATAAAGATATCATATTTTCCAGAAACCCTTTTGCTAAATCAGAACAAATCTGCAGTGTTCCCCCAGGCTCAGATTTTAGTTCAGCATGTACCTGCTCTAGTTTTAAAGTGCTCCTTGAAAAGGCTTGTACTTGGCACTTGTTAAGTTTTCACAATATCCAAGACACTAGATGTATAAAAGTCATAAACAAAAATTTTAGTAATTCGAATACTTACTTGTAGTTAGTCATTTGGGTTTTAACAAATTCTAGGTAAAAATAAGAATCGTGTGGCCAACAGATTGTATGACCAGCATGATATATAATTATTTTTAAATCATGTGCTTTTAAATGACTCCCTTCTCTCCCCTCTCCTCTCCTCCCCTCTGTTCTCTTCTCTTCTCTAAGATCAACTTGTACTAGTGGTATCTGACCCTAAAGTGGGAGAATTGATAGGTTGATCCTATCTTTTTTTTCTTTTCATTCTATTCCACTCTGTTTTTCTTTCCTTTTCCAGCATCTTTTCCTTAGCATTGAATAGTCTGACTCCAAGTTTTTCCCCTTCCCTTATGATCTTTCTTGAGCAGCTTTTCATACCTTTTCATTTTTTCCACTCTTCATTATCTTGCCTTTTCCACTTACTAGAATATTTGTCTCAGATAATCTTGTCAATAAATCTTTGCTGAAGGTATTTAAAACTTCATACCAAATAGCATGTTAATCAGACTTTTATTCACATACTATGATATAAAAAAATGTGCACTTAAAAACTTGTGTTTTATCAGACTTAAATATTGAGAAGATTGTGATTACCCTGTCCTTCAAATTAATTAAAATATAATGTATCTTTTAAGAGAGTACAAACATTGTGTGCATGCTTAAATTAATTTATTTTGAAATGACTGATTGTACGATTTCAGGTATATTAATGAAGCTAAAGAGTTTTGGGGTTGATTTTTTGGAGTGTTGGTTGTTCAAGGCCTTCACTGCTATCCTGAAAGGGTTTGGCATGCTACTGCCAAATACACTTTATACATATTTAAACCATGCAACAATCCTGTGGAATAAAATTATCAGCCTCAGATTACAGACCAGAAATTGCAGCACAGTAAACCTTCCAAGTCTCAAGTGTCAGTACTAAGATGTAAACTGAGACTCCCTGGCTAATGATTTTAAGCTTTTCATATGCTTAGTGATCAATCAATAGGCTTTTTGTCTTAATTTAAAGGCCAATCCTTCACCACAAGGCCTTGATCTGTGCTGGACAATATTTAATGTCTCATTATCTTGTTGACTGCACTACAATTTTCTAATCCATATGCATTCTCTTGCTTACCTGAACCCTGCACTTGTTCCAACTTGTACTCCTTGCCTTTGCTGGACTATGGATTCATTCATGCTCTCCCCTTGGCCTAAAATGGGACTTATGCTTACAGTCTATTCTACACAATAACTTGAAACAAGATGGGGCTAGGATAAGGCTCAGTGGTAGAGCACTTGCCTGGCATGAGGGATCCCTAGGTTTTATCCCCATCACCATGGTAAACAAACACAACAATACACACACACAAGAGCATGTGCTGACAAGTCCAGAAGAAGTCGTTTCATCAGTAACATAAGGATCTAACTTTGCTTCATACAATCTTTTGATCACTTTTCTGGCTTTTAATCCCTAACCTTCATCCTGAACATTTGGAGGAACTAGGGCCTCTAAATCCTGAAACATTACATGTTCTACAAGAGGAGATCCATTTATTTTTTTTCTCCACAAACAGTTAAATTTATTCTTTCCTTTTCTTCTTTGTCTTCTTTCATTCTCTCATTTGCTTTGTTCTCTCTAGTTGGTTTTCTTTGTACTTGTGATTCTTTTTTTTTTACCATCACCACTATCTTTATGATTATCTTTCAGTTGGGTTTTTCAAATGAGGAAAATGGGTGTAGGTATTCAACTTATTATAGTTTATTAAAAATTTGGAGTTATTTTTAAATAAGAAGATAATCAGTGTAGCATGAAAATAATGGTCTTTGGAGTCAGATTCCCCAAGTTATTCAAGAGAAGGCACAGAAATAAAATGATATCCATGGTAAGCTAGATAAGCTAGACTCAGAAATCCAAGGGTCCTATAATTTCTTTCATTTGTGGAGGCTAGAGAGAAAAAAGAAAAAAAAATGTATGTGTGTGTGTGTGCGTGTGTGTGTGTGTGTGTGTGTGTGTGTGTTGGGGAATCTCTTGAAAATAGAAGAGAGTGTAGTAGAGTATAGAGGAAGGGGTCAGGGAAGGGAAGAGGGATAGTGGGGAGGTATAGAAGGGATGAAATAGAAAAATTACACTATGTGCTTTTATGAATATATCAAAATGAATCCCACTATTGTGTATAATCATAAAGCACCAATAAAAATAAATAAATCAAAGACAAGTTAAAGGAGGAGAAAAGAAAGAAAATGGATTTCAATACTATGCTGGAGTGACAGGATTGGACTGGACATTTTCTGAGCCCTCCAACTGATGTGCAGATAATTAGTGTCACAGCTCACCTGTAATTCAAAGCTTCCTGGTTCTGAAACTGAGCATCCACAAGGTTTGTGTTCTGAGTGTTACTTGATAGCTGCATGGGCTGGAGCAAGCTCACCTGTCTCTAAACTCTATTTATAAACTTGGGGATTAGAATTCCCCCTTCTTGTACCCTCATGAGAATCACAGGAATGGACATTATCTTTAAAGTGCTAAGTACAAGGTGTACAAATACTAGAAATCAACTACTAACTGTGTGGTCCTTCCTTCACATCTTGCCCAACAGACCATAACTTACATAATGTGGGTCCTCATATATTTGTTAAATATTCATTCAACTGAAGAATACACCACTGAAATCCAATGGGGTATAATTTGTCAGTGGAACTTGTATACAAGACAGCAGGGTTAAGAGACTCAGAAGAATGAAGGAGTGAGCCATGAGATTAAAAGGTTTTGCATATAATTGGTGGCAGTGTCTCTTGCCATCAGCATCAGAATTTGGGGTGGTAAAAAGGATACTGAAATGCCTTATTCCTAGTTAAAAGAAAAGAGTTGAGGTGGCTATATAAAGAAACTTTTTTTCCATGTTTTGCATTATTTATGTCTGTTCTATTTAGCCTTTATCCTCACATATTCTCTTCCTGAAGGATCATTTGTTTACAGATTCTCAAGTTATGATCCATTCTAGGGCCAGGGGCATCTATTGTTTCTCACCTCAGATTTTGGAATATGTAGCTTTCCATTTAAAACTGTAAATATTGTCACAGGGAAACAGAATATGCTTCACATGATATTAAGGGAAAAGATTGTTTCCAAATTTCATTAAGTCATGGAAAACGGCAGAGACTGAAGAATGCCAACCCCAGAAGGTAATTCACACCACCTTTCTCTTTTAATTTTCCCAGCTTCCTTTTTTTTTGTTGTTGTTGGATCCATTTCATCGTTTCTTAGCCTTTTTGTTTTGTTTTGTTTTCTTTGAAAGAAGCCTTTACTGAGATATAATTCACGCATCATACAATTCACAGCACAATGGGCCTAGTTTGTCTAGAGTTGTGCAACCAGTCACCACCATCAAGTTCAGAACATTTCATCACCTGTCCACCTCCAAATTCCATAACCATATATATATATATATATATATATATATATATATATATATATATATATATATATATATATATATATATATATATATATATATATATATATATATATATTTAGTCCTCAGTAAAAAGGGACACAGAAACTCCAAAGGAACGAAGTGGAAGGGAGGAAATGCAACCAGTCCTTTCGGCCTTCTGCCTCTAGATTCCATAGGGAGTCCAGTCAACAGGTGTTTGCGATCCCAATAGGGTTACCTTCCCCAGCTGCCTGTCAATCACCCCTCCAAGGACTTCCCAATTTGGCTGGCGCAACCTCCTTCCACTCCTCCTACCTCAGCTGTCAGGAAATCCTGGAGCAATTGTTGCCCTGGAGTCGTTTGTTTTTTTGGTGACCAGAATTGAGCTGGATTTTCAATAAATACATAAATAAATGAATAAATAAGAATAGTGAATCGGGGCCTTGGTGCAATGCCCAGGTTTGCTGGCTTCCGCCTTAGGAACCAGGCGATGCCACCTCCACCAACCGGGGACGCGGCGCACAACTTGCTTGTTTGAAAATTGAGATCAAGTTGGCTTCTTTGGCCTTGCCTTAGGAGTACTTGTGTGTCGAAGTCGGGAGGATGTTCTCAGCCGTTTGACAGTGATTTTTTTTTTTTTTTTTTTCTGATAAAGTCACGGAGCTGGAAGTGCAGGTGGGGGCTGGATCTCCTGCGGAGGCGCAGCTCACCTCCCGCGGAGACGCAGTGACAACCCTCCCACCCCCCACCCCCGCTGGGTCCCCACTCCAGCCTGTTGCTTTCTCGGTGGCTCCAGGTCGGTTTTTCCCGGCGACTCTAGTGTGATTTCCAAACTTCTGGGCTCCGGGCTGACCTCAGCATTTCCCCCCGCCTCCCTTGGGCTCCCTTCGGATCGCCGGCGGTCGCTAGCGGCCCAGTCGTTGTCCAACGGGAGCACTAGGGACCGCGGGCAGCACAGCCTGCGCTGGTGGGGGGCTGTCGGGGGGGGGGTGTGATGAAGCCTTCTTGGCTGCAATGTCGCAAAGTCACGGGCGCCGGAGGGCTCGGGGGGACCCTGCCGGGGTCCTCTTCCGCCCGAGGAACCGGTGCGGCCCGGAGGGCTTTGGTGGCCCCCGGCGCGCGGGGCCTGGGCTGTCGGGCGCTGTCCTCCAGCGGCGGCGAGTACAAGACCCACTTCACTGCTTCGGTGGCCGACCCGGAGAGGTTCTGGGGCAAAGCCGCTGAGCAGATCAGCTGGTACAAACCCTGGACCAAAACGCTAGAGAACAGATACACACCTTCCACCAGTTGGTGAGTGACTTCTTGGCCAATTCCAAGTCTCCTAACTTCTTGGACGCCCAAAGTTCTATGTCCCTGGGACTTGAATTCTGGAGTTCTATCCTGAAAGAAAATCGAAATTTGAGATGAACTCAGACCTTCCATTTGTGTTTAATCTCAAGTCTCATAGTTAGCTATCCTGCCTTTTCTGGAGGTACTCAATTATCTAATGTCATCTGAGTTTCCCATAAATGGGAGATTTACCTCTATGGCAGGGCTCTTTGTGACATTCAGGATGTTGAGGTGATTAAAACAGAAGGCTACTTCCAGGGACAGCACAAACTAGAGAGACACTATGTAAACCAAACTATGGAAGTATTACCAAGTATCCCCATACTGTGGAAAGGAATAGAGTGGGGTAAGGAGTTCAATAAAAATCACAGCTGAGTAGGGTTTGGAAGGGTGTCTATGTCTTCTCAAAGTTGACAAGTGAAATTACCCAAGACCATGATATGTGGCCTGCAACATTGTTGCAAATGATTGTGTTGGCTGGAAAACTGGGAGAAGGGGCTGAAGAGTCAGGGTCTGGAGTGGAAAGGGATTTATGTGATGTGCCAAATATCTGGGACAAAGCCATAAGGAGCTGCAGCAAGGGGTGCACAGAAAGAAAGCAGATATAGGACAGGTGTTGTTAGAAGTCATGGTAGGAATGAAGTTTTCTTCCTAGAGTTGTAATTATTAAGTAGTTATAAACATTATTTTTTATATTCCAATAAACAAGATACATTGTGGACATTGTAGACTAGATGCCAAACTTGCTAGGATACTGAGTCTCTGAGAATTCAGTGTGACTTCTATGTGCCTAGGCCGGGAAAAGTGTAGTTGCTCTCACCTGCTATCCATTAGGAAGAGAGATTATCTACAGTCATTTGAAAGACATTGTTCAACAGTGAGGTTGGGGAAATGACAAGATCAAGTTTTCCTTTGAAAAGTGGTCAGATTAGGGAATCTGGAATTGAGTCAGCAAGAGCCTGTTCTGTGTCCTGATTAGGTCTTGTCCTCTCTTGTTTGTTTGGGGAATGTTTACGTGATGTTCCCTTTAAAATTTCATCACCTTCCCTTCTATTTATTTATTATTTTAAAGTAGTATTTTATTGATTCTATTCCATGTACCCAGACTGTAAACCAGGCACTAAGTATACAACAGTGAGGAAACCAGCCCTTGCTTTCTGGGAGCCATGAAAATTAAGAACATGGACTCATGGCCAGACTATCTGAGGTCTGCCTCTCATGGTTACTGTGTTCACAGGCAAGTTATTTAACCTCTCTGTGCCTCAGTTTCCTGGAATGCAAATGACCAGCTTGAGGATTAACTGAATAAAAGATTAAGACCTTGTCTCATTTAGTCCACCCTATAAATATTAGAGGAAGAATAGCTCTCTTTGTATTCTCACACCACAATCATTTTAGGAGCAGGAAGCTCTCTTGGTGTTCCTCATATCCAAGTGTGTGGCTTCCTCACTTTGTTCTCAAGACTCAGTACATTTGTGTCTGTCATAAAGTATGATACTGTAATTATTTATTTTATGTGGCTGTTTTTACCATGAAACCAATGTGTAGAGATCCAGTAAAGAAGGCAGTGGGATAGTCTTAAGTTAAAACCCATGAGACCAAATCTAAGACAGGAGCAAAAGTCATGGAGGAAAGATGGATTTGAGTGATTTCAGGGTTAGTGGGAGTCAGCAAAGACCCAGGGAAATGTAGAGAAGGTGGTAGTCTAGCAAATAGACATTGAAGACCTGGAGATTTCCTTTCTAAAACTTTAGTTTTTTCTTCTTAAAATCTTGTTTTAAAATTTTCTAAAACTTATGTTTATAAAATATTGTCTGCAATGAGAATTTTTGTAAAGGGGTCTTTTAAGTTTTTTTTTTTTAATTAGTGTATTGCAGATCACTGACATTTGATAATACTGGATCCACATTATTCATCAGTGCAGTTTTGGAATCATGCAACCTCACCTATCTCACAGCAATGCAGAATATCAAAGTGGATAATAATAAAACATTGAATCTGAATTTATTTCAACAGTGTTATTTATTCTTACTAATAATTTTGTTTGGCAGCTGGATGTGGTGGCACATGCCTGTAATCCCAGTGACTCAGCAGGCTGAGGCAGGAGGACCGTAAGTTTGAGGTTAGCCTCAGCAACTTAGGGAGACCCTGTCTCAAAATATAAAAAATAAAAAGAACTGAGGATGAAACTCATGGTAGAGCACCTCTGGGTTCCATCCCCAGAATGGTGTTGTCATTCTTATTAATGATTTTTTTTTCCTAGCATATTATCACTTGTCACATAATAGGTGTCCAGCACAAGAATTCCCCATTCTTCCTTCTGCACTGGAACCATACAGGCTTGAATTTAACCCAAACTTTGCCACTTACTTTGAGAAAGCTTCCATGATCTCATTGGTAAGATTAGAATATTGATAGCTTCAATTTCTAATGATCAAATAGGAACTTAGAAAATGTCTAGGACTGTGCCTGACACATTGTACTGAGTGTAAATTTATGTAGAATATGGAAGAGATATTCCCTTCAGCTGGTTTGGTTCAAGAAGTTGTTTAGGGAAATGGTAGCATTTGAACTCGACATTGAGATAGCATATAAAAAGGGAGACAGGTGTTTCTCTGTGGGGAGTAACACAACTAAAGTGTAGTTCAGAAAGAACTGAGTGTTGTTGAAAGATAATTATAGTAGACCATTTCATTTGCAGTGTGTTTTCTGTGCTTTTTGCTTCTGGATTTCAGAAGACAGTTGTAGGATGGGTGAGAGGGCTTGGAGTGGGAGCATTTACATTGACTTCACAAGCTGCAAGGGGTTAGAAAACCTACAGATAGACTTTGACCCAGATGCTGTTTCATGTTTTAAAATTAATTGGCAGTATTTAAATATTAATCTAGTTCATAGGAAATCCATTTTTTCCTGTAGCAACTTTTTGTTACAGCTTTTGAGTAACAAAAAAGCTTTTGAGTTTCTCTTGAAACACATGCATGTGTGGAAGTGCACACATGTACACACAGAGAACCTATAGGTCAGCAATAGGAAGTTATTCCTGCATGGCAGCATTTGGCTAGAACTGAGCATCTGCTGCCCCTTTTGAATGGTGCATGTGCTTATTGATAACTGTCCCTACCACCATTGCATTATTTCCTGCCAGTTCTGATCACTAACTTTGGCCATTGTGAGCATTTTTATTTGCAGTGCCTACTAAGGCAGTGATGATCCATGGTGGCTCTTTGTTAAAAGGATAATGGGATAAACCTAGTATCTGAGACTAAGTTTGACCTCAGATTTCAAGATTTCTTGGGGGAAAGGGAGATAAGAGAGATTGGAAATATCAGAGTAACGCTAACTTGTAGAAATGCGTCTAATGAACCAGGCTAATGGCAGGAGGAATAGAAAGAGAAAAATTTCAGGAATCAAGATTACATTAGACATGCTGACTGCCTGGAAGTGGAGTGCAGGAAACAGAAGATGTTATGGTCACATCAAGAATTTGAGTAAAATGTCCAAGGGGAGGAACTCATGGGGGAATTAAAGATAATGTGTTGAAAACTAGGAGACAGATGGATGTAGGAGTTTAGATTCAAGTATAAATTGTAAAGAAATAATAGTTAAAACATTGTGGATGTTGAATGTTTTTGGAGAGAGAGTGGGGAGAGAGGGAGAGAGGGAGAGCAAGAGAAAGGGGAAGAGAAGGAGGGAGAGAGAGAGAGAAGGAAAGAACAAAATACCAAGGACTAAACTTTGGGGAGAAGTACTGTTGTAGGGACAGAGGAGGCAAGGCACCAAAGAAGGAAACAGTTTTATTTGGCTGCAGCCAGGTTTAGAGGGCATAGCTTCTGCTGTTATCAATCAGTCCCCTGAACCCCGAGTTCAGGTAGTTTCAGAATTTTATACCCAGCATGTAAGAGGAGGGGATGAGAAGTTCATAGTCTGTAGAAGTTTACATAAAAACAGTATTTTCTTTCCCTGTTCTGGGCAGGTTGACCTTTCAAGGACAACACCTGAGAATGGGAGAGCTTCTTCTCCCCTTTCTTCCCTCCCCTTGCCAGCTGTTACCATGGAGCCCAATTGGTAACATCTCTGTGACATTGTAGACATCTCTGTGAATCCCCAGCTCAAGGCCAAAGGCCCTGTTTACACATTTCTACAAACTATTATACTGGATACATGTTTGTGAAGAACTAGTCAGGGGGTGTCCAGCACCTGGAGTGCTGATTTCTTCCCGACCAGTGGCCAAGTAAAACAGGGCAACAGGAAAATAGGAAATTATCTACGTTGAACTCTTTTGTAGAGACACTTTTTCTGACAGTCCTAAAATCAGCCATGGTGAAGATTTCTGGAGAAGCCCAGTTAAGACTTTTCTGTGGAGAACCGGGGTGCCACTACAGTACAAGAAAAAAAGAGTCATGGGAATGGATGCGACTCATTCAAAGAAGTAGGAGAGGGAAAGGATATTTTAGTGTCATGGATTATAAAAGAGAGAAGAGATACAAACTGGGAAAGTCAATAGTGGTAAGGGCTCTAGAGATGTTCTGAGGCTATCTAGGATTGAAAGAAATTCTATCTCTGTAAAAGAAACCTCTGTGACTCAGAGATCCTTGGTGATTTTTAATAAGGTGATGTCAGTGGAGCAATGAGGGCCAAAGCCAGAATAGTGCATGACAGATGGCCTAGTGGTAGGCAAAAGCATTTTATGGATTTATTTGACAGAGGCAGGAAGGTGAGACCATCTACAACATGCAGAAGTAAAATAAATAAAAGAGTTTCTTCTCCCTCCATGCTTTCTCTTCCTCCTGTTTCAGGAGTAACTTATGTTGAAAGGCAGAAGCAAAGTCTATGAAGTAGGAATGAAGGGAATTTTGTTTATTTTGAAACCTATTGCTTCATAGGACTCCCTGTCCTTGCAAGTTGACCTTTTTGGTTTCTTTTTGTTGTTCTTTTTTTATGTACTAGAAGTTCATGGAAGA